CGACGATTTCTTTTCAGACACTTCATAATCCTCTCGTTGACTATCGCGTTTCTTCGAAGACGTTCTTGACATCGTCAAAAACGACGCCTCTCTAAAAAATGATTACCAATAGATAAAAAGATGACAATGCTTTTGGCGTTGATCAATCCCTACGGGATGCGCTGCCATGCATTTTACTTCATCGTAAGTGGTGATTGAATGCATATTTGCCCAACATAAATGACTTGGCATGGCACACCGACGTCTCGAGTGTCAGTTCTGTTATACTCTCAGACAAGTGTCTGGCACCAATTTGCCGACACCGGAGTGATAGAAGGTTTGGTGAACTTGGAGTGAAGGGTGGGGGGAAACAAATAATGAATCCGCGTTATTACAGGGCACCTGTAGCCACTACGCTACATGCGCCCCGAGCGCCAATGCTACAAAAACGATGGCATTAACTAAGAACGACTAGATGTATTCAATCCATTATAAATATGCAACTAACGGCTCCACTGAAAAGCATTTATTGGAAAATTTTTCTATTAACGAATTCAAACTATCTGCATTACAAATATGACAATCTACCATTGCTTTACGGGCGTCTAGCGCAGTCATAGGACATGCTCTGAAAAACACACATAGTGATAACTTCATTCCTTCGCTAGTGATAACATCAATTTTTCGTCCAAAGTTAATTGACTCTTTCATCTCTTTGAGGTTGGAAAATGTTTCTTTCTCAAGGTCACTGCAACTGACTGTATGAGCCAGGTAGGTATACATTCTGTCACCATGACGTTGCTATGAATGAAGTTAAATGTATCGCGCATCCTTAATGAGTTCATCAACGTAGAACGCTTCATCCTTTCGGATTTATCAAAGATTTAGATCGACTGTGATAGCTTAGATTGTTAGCTAGACAACGTTGTACGAACTGGACGATGCCAGCTTCTTAAGCTCTAGACAAACAAACGGAAGCTGAGATTAAAAACTTTCACTGAAGAAGTAATGATAGAAGAAAAAGGATCAATTTCGACTTCGACTTGACCGAAATAGAATAAACGTCACACACAGATCGCGATGCTAGGATCAATTCGTTAGAATATGGGATACACAAGCAGTCGTTCAACTTTATGTTTCCACCTATACAAGAGCTATAAACACCTATTCTCATCAGCCTCCTTTCATAAGAGGCGGACATTCTTGCTTGGAAAAATGCAGACCCATACGGGTTTTGACAAGATTTCTCTGCTACAGAGTTCCACAGAAATGGTGATGACACCGCCATAGCGCTAAAATGGACCTGTGGAAAAAGTTTTGATGAACTTCAAGAAAACGCGCATAATTCAGTAGGGTAAAAAACGTGTGATGCCGTTTGTCTCATTATGAAACATATAGAAATTATCTGTGGTATCTCACAGCTCTCAAAAAGCTAAGGAGACTTCTTGGCTTTGTCATTGTCGCAGTGTTCTAAAGGAAATGGGATCATCGCCTCATTTGTGTAAGAATTCCTTTCTAGCAGAAGACGATGGGGGAAGGAAGTTAAACGCACGAAAACTAAAAAGTCGCCATGAATATTTTTTTGCCTTGTTACGCATTTCTGAATCACTACTGATACTGATAAGAGACTAAGAGAGAGAGATAAGAGATAAGAGATAAGAAGAGACTGATAAGCAACACGGTTGACCTTCACGACAACACAAGAAAGGGAGAAAATTTAAATAAGCACGAGACACAGACCACTAGGAACTCTTAATTTAACACGTTATTGCAAAGATCCAGAAAGGTACGCATCATAGAAAAGCGATATGAGGAAAAAGCGATATAGGGTTGCTTGAAGCCGAAGTAGGAAGGAAGAACTTTTAAAACCACCAGGACGTCACCATTCACAAAACAGGGATAACTGGTTTCCCAAGGTTTGTATAATCCAGAAGGGTTTTGAAAAGTTCATCTATCCTACTTTTACTCTCATCTGTTTTACAGCAATATCCATGTGATTTCATAATACATTAGGAAAGAAAGGCGGGTGTCGAGCAATGGTCGGAGGCGCTTTGCAGCACACAGGTGGAATGGATTCCCGTGCCCATGGCTCACCAAGCCTTCCATCCTTCCAGGGTCGGCAAATTGGTACCAGATTTGTCCGGAAGGATAGCAGCACTGGCTCGATACATCGGTAGGCTACCGCGAGTCATTATAAAGGCCAGATATGCATTCAGTCACCTCCAGCGATACTTAATGAAGTCGAATGCATGGCGCATCCCTCAGGGGTTGATCAAAGCCGGGATTATCCTTCTTTATCCTTTATCGGAAAAGATGGATACGTCACGTCACCATATCACTGAGTTCCGACGATTCACTTTAAGATAACAAGATATTTTTGCTGCAGAATAAGACAGACCTGGAAAGCACTGGGAACTACAGCGTTGTGTGGGCGTCGTCTCTAGTCTACAGGCCATTTATACAACACAATCAGAGCAGCTATCAAAAACTTTTGGCTAGAGGAAATCAGATGATCAGGCAAGATTTCGAAAGCCGCTCATTTTAAAGTAGGATTCCTTCGTTAACGCTCTACAACTATCACAGACACACGACTTGAATCCTCCTGCCCTGATGAAGGCAATGCTGCCGCAACACTAGCCACAATAAGGCTTTGTAGAAAAACTTCGTGCTAGCTTATCAATGAACCAAGATATTGTTTAGTTATGTAAAAGTTAAGTTCACACCGGTTTCTAGACATTGAATTTTAACAGTTATTGAGTAATACCGTATTCCATATGACATAATGGTTAATTTCAATTAATACTAGAATTATCATTTTGTTGTTTGCGTCTGGCCAACGAAAAGAACCCATTGGGAAAAATCATTCGCTCAACGGACAGAAACGTGAAAGATGTAAATAAGTGTAGCAGTCACGGGAAGACGGTGGTTATCCGTAACTTCGAGCGAACTTCGTTTGAAACACTTCCACACTACGCATTTGTAGCTCTACAGTTATTTATCCCGTGCTTTTGAAGCATTGATACAGGTTTACCTCGACGTTTTACCGCTTAACTATCGATAAGCATCTACCAGTTTTCGAACTGCGATGAAGAAATAAACATCAGAGGCTCATCACCAGTAGGATCACAGTGGTGTGTGACGTTTCCACTAATAGGATGAGATAAGAGTAAAAATATTTAACGGTAGAGTCCAGCGAGCTACTGATAGCGACCCTTTCGATACGAGCAACTGAAAGAAAGCACATCGTATTGACCCGGATGGTGTAGTGGTGATGTTCGCTGCTTCCCGGTAAGGACAACAGCGCGTGTTCGTTCCCTACTGCATACACCTGTGGTCCGGAGTTTTGCAGGTATCTCAGCACTTCATACATCGTATTTCATCGAAAAAGTGATGTGCTTCGTTGGTTCGTATATCCGGAGAAAGTGGAGTTTACAGAGCAGTTGTGGTGTTGAAAAAGAGTGGGCGAAAATTTTACTACCGTCCACTCAAGTGGTCTAATGAATAGTGAGTATGCAGGTGATCACCTGTTCTCTGCTAATCGGAACGTGGAAAGGCCTTGCTTTTGAAAAGTGACTGCTTTTGCAGTTTTGAGTTAAATGAATCAAAAAATTTACTGAGTTCAGTAATGTTCAAAACGATATTCCATCATGTTTCACCTAATGAAAGGCTATTTCACTATGGAACTACTGACAGAGACCAAAAATTTTATTAATTAGGATTATTTATTCATACCGACTATTTTGTCGCGTATCACTTTTCCTGCTAGACATGGACTGATCACGAGAACAACGCGACCGTTCCGGCAAAAGATGGCGCTTTTCGCACTCTCTAAAAAACCCATCGCTTGCACAAGGTCTTCAAAGTGGCCCCGTTTCGATCGGAAATAGTGATTTGTGCATGAAACCTTTTATCGTCCTCTTCTTTGTCTTCGTCGCTGTATTCTTCTACGTCAACTCGCCGTCCTTCCTCGGCACGTATTTGTTTAGCTTTGCTCTTATACTGCCTGAGTAAACCAGTGCACTTCCTGGATAATAGACCACAGTGTATCATAAACAGAGAAACGAAGTTTTCAAGACTTTCAAAGAACAAGTAGGCAAATTCAGAAATTTGGCAAACGAATTTGAGAATCTCGGAAAATGAAGAAAACCTGCAGATGAGAACCGTCACCAAGCACCCACACTTTGGGAAAACGCGATAATATTCGCAATAATGTATGAACCACCGCCGATATTTGCAACAAATGACCTTATTGAAGTAGAAAGTCACTTAAGTCGGAAATATGGGATTTTTTAGTGAAAGCTCTAGATAAAATGGAAGCCTTTCGTAGGTGTTAGAAACTATTGAAGAGACAATTCAGCTGGTAGACGTACGTTTTCGGATCTGCCAAGCCAATACAGACGAGGAATCGCTGCCGAATTGTCAGCTTTGGTGGTGGTAAGGCTTCTCGTTCGGTCTCATCAACATCACTGTGATCTACTTCTTCCAGCGATCTGAAATTTTGAACACTAAGAAAGAGCAAGCGGTAAACATGACTGAAACCTAAAAAGCTAAAGAGGACTTGTATTACTGTCAATTCTTAAAATAAACTGTGTAGGTGAAGTGGTAATGAAATGAAATGAATGCAAAACAAGAATATCTTTCTTGCCCAAGTGAAGGCACAAATCCTCGACTTGCTGACGTTGTAGAGTGGGGATTACTGGCGACTGATTTTGGATGTGATTCGTCATCCTGAAGTTTATTTAATCCTTTTTATATAATTTGAAGGTGTGTGGAAGCGTGATTATTCGATTTCCCTTTGATCTCATTTCTTTTTCCTTTGGTTCTAAACGTTTTCATTCTTCCACGTGAATTGAATTTGAGGCAAGAAGGAAAGCTCACTGAAGAATATGGAGCAGGGATCTGTTTCGTTTCCACACGTCGTTTTCTAGATAGTGAAAAGTTTCGTTTCTTTTTCCCGCCAGCCATTTCGAAAATCTTTTTCTTCTCTTCAGTGCGTTCCTAGAAGATGCAGATGCGTTTTACTAGACAAGAAAAAATCGACAGGAAATGCTCACATGCATCAGTTGGGTGGACAAGTCATTATTGGCTTCTCGTAATCCACGTACAAGTGCAAGTAGAAAGTAGATGACAAGACTGAAAAACGAATGATTTTCATCGATGCAAAATCGATTCTCTATTAATATCAGTACTTTTTGTGCTTACGAACGAGACTATATATGTATTCGTTATTTTATTCCTTTCATAAGATATTTTTTGAAAACATTAGAAATTTCAGGCTTATTAGTAATTTGAATGTAGTACTCTTATTTTTAGTAGTTATGATAGAAATTCAATTAGTTTTCCATACCTTCGGTGACTGTGCGGATTTTTCGATAACTACCGACAATTTCTTGTTCGTAAGAACAGTTGAGGATGAATGGGAACTTTAATACTTAGACGAGATATAAAAAACTTTGTTTTATCCTTTTAAGGGTTTATCTAGTCCTTAGAGAGTTGAAATTTTCCAGTAAACAAAGAGCAAATTTGCTTTCTGAGATCCTCGAATGCAAGGGCGTTACGCGAAAAGTCTAATAACACATTGTTGAATACCATGGCATGGTTCTGGAACGAACAGCACTTGTTGCACGGCTGTCATTTCCGAAATATGCGAGTTGATGAAAAAAGGAATAAAATGGGAAGAGAATTTGTATGTTATAGGCAAACACCAGTAGTTTGCACTGGTTTTTATTTCAGTTAATAACATTCATCATGAAATTAGATATGTTGGCTTAAATTTAAAAGCGACCACTTTTTCTGCACTTTGGAATCACGAATGTAACTGTACGGTAAGGAATGTGTTGAAAACTTTTTCATAAGAAACAAGGTTAAAACCAGTCACAGATATTGATAAATCGTTTTTGACATGTTCGCTGAATAAAAAGCAGTTTTGGATTAACTTCTTGAAATATTTCCTGATGTTCAACGTCTATACAAGTACGAACAGCAATAGAAGTAACACTGGTATGACTATTCCTGGTGAAATCATGTATTTCAGAGCGTCCACTAACGATGCATTCAGATTTTCATGAAGTACATCCGTGATGGCACTGTAGAAATGCGGTTGATCACTGAAATAAAGTAAACTTAAGCACAAAAGCCTGTAATGATCCAGACTGCCAGTTTTTTTGAGAAATGTTATTTGAAAATTTACAATTCACATTACGATGTCGACATAGCAGAATAGCGCTCTCTTCACATTTTTTGTTACTCAGTTTTATCACCAATTCCATAAAGATTCCGAAAAAATGTGGTGCATAGAATTTTTTATTTTATTTTATTTGATCCTTCTTCGCGTCTACTGTGCGGATACCAGCACTTCTCACACTCGATTCGCTTCCTCGCATCCATCGTTCACGAAGGTCTTCCAACTTTTACGTGCGGCTTCGGCTGCTGCTGATGGATTTTCGTTTCAACTTGAATATCGTTTAATGCAGGACGAGCAATTCTTCCTGAAGTCTTGAGATAGTTGGGCTGGAACGTTCCAAACTGGATTGCAGAGAGCGATTTTTTTGCGGACAACTCCGGTACGAATTTCCCGACTCCGGAATGATCAGAGGAATGATTGGTTGGCGCGGTACGGAATCGAACTAGAACCATGCTCGTGATAACGGCCATCACTACCACTGTGCTATCCGTCTGCTGTTGTATAGAAGACGATGAGTAAAGAGATATAAAGAGCCCAAAATAAGACAAACGGCGCAGAAAAAAACTGGATGATCTTTTTTTTTCTGAAATAGATACTGCGCTGGAGATCACTTGAACAATGTTAAACTAAACATCGTGAGACAATTGTAGAAGAGGAGACCACTACTCGACTTACGCTAATATCTGCCTGTTAACTCTTCACTGGAAAAAGCAGATAAAGTGTTTCTAAAATTTTATATCAAGTACCTTATATGAACTAGAATAATGCTGCTTTTGCAAAACTCTGGACCGCTAGAGTCTGCTGCGTGGACCGAACACGTGATTACCCTTTCCAGGGGTTAACGCGTTCACCACCGCATTATGCGGGCTCTTTGTTTTGCGTTTCTGTCATCTGTCTTTTAATCAGTAATTGCTATCAGCAATTACCCATTAACGGGATTGATCTGGGAAGCACAAATCGGCATTTGCCGATTATGAAGACCATAGGAAATGCCGACTTGAGCTCCCAGATCAGTCCTGTTAATGGGTGATTGCTGATAGCACTTTTGGTTAAAACACGGCTGAGTGAAAGGCGAAACCAACAACCGACATGGTGTGGTGGTGAAGGCGTTACCCTCCAGAAAGGGTAATAGTGCCTTCGATTCCACCTGCGGTACAGAGTTTTGCCAAGACCTTAGAATTATTGCAGTTATATAACTCGTATGAAGTGCTGGGATACTTGCAAAACTCCGGACCACAGGTCTATGCAGTGGGGAACGAACACGCGCTGCTCCCCGGTAAGGACAACAGCGCGTGTTCGTTCCCCACTGCATAGACCTGTGGTCCGGAGTTTTGCAAGTATCCCAGCACTTCATACGAGTTATATTTCACAACATACCCTGCCATTAAGAAGAAAAAGGCAGTGAATAAAAGAGTTAATATTGCAGTTATATTTCGCATCACACACTGTCTTGAGAAGGAATAGACAGTAAATAAAATATGAGTGCCTTTATAGATTTAAGAGTAAATTCATCTGTAGACCTGTGCATTACCACTGCAAAAAAGTTCAAACTCAGTGGAGTTTAAATTTCTGGTAGGAATACACTGGCAGGTCAAAAACTACGTGCCCGGAACTTTGCTGGCGACTGAGTGCTAACAACACTAATTATTATTCAGACGGAATAAATATTAATTGACTCCAAGTATTTGCACGAAAGGTTCTTCTCTGACAGAGGTAATCCTCTTTAACTGCATGAAATTGCATCAAATGACAATTTCAACTTACTATTTACTAACCACTCTTCTTAATGGCAGGATATTTTGCGAAGTATAAGTTCATTGATGCCGAGATATTTGCAAAACTCCGGACCGCATCTGCAGTGGGGAGCGAACGCGCTATCACCTTTTTCGGAGTTTTGCAAATATCTCAGCATTGATGAATTAATATTTCGCAACATACCCTGCCATTAAGAAGAGTAGGCAGTAAATAATTAGTTTAAATTCTGACTATAACTACGGCCTGAGCTTTAGCTGGCTTCATTACCGATTTGGGCTACCCAGATCAGTCCTGTTGATGGGTGATTGCTGATAGCACTATTGTTTAACACACGGCTGATAGAAAGGCGAAACCAACAACCCGCATGGTGTGGTGGTGAGCGCGTTAGCCCTCGGAAAGGGAAATAGAGCATTCGTTTCCCACCGCAGACATCTGCGGCCCGTAGTTTTGCAAATATCTCAAGATAAATGAAGTATGCTTCAAATGAGTCAATATATTCTGCAAAATGGATACATCTGAAGGAACCAGTCTACCAAATCTCGACAGCGCAATGACAAGACAATTAATATACATATAAGCAAGAAGGAGAGAGCAGTTCAAGAAGGTTGTGCGATAGGTCGAAAACGGCAAAGAAGCCGACACCGTTGCTCTTACTTCTATAAGCAGGATTCCATCGTGTTACCGCAGGACGCACCAAACGTAGCACCGAATTTTCCAAGCAACAAAGGAAACCGAAGGTTCAAGTTGTTCATTGACTGGGATAACTGGGGTACTGGCAACTTCTCCGTTGCTTCATTTACCGTAGCTAAGAAATTAATGATGCCTCATAGGAGAATAATGTCAACGATTCAGTAGGTTGTCGGACTAGATTTTGCACAACAGGATTGGAACTCCAGTCGCTGAAAAAGTTTTCTATGCAGATATCAAAAAATCATAAACAAACGACTGCTATCTACAATATACTCAGCTGCTTAAGAACTTGAAGAGACAATATGAGGACCTCAACATCTCTTTCCTTCCAGCGCTTTGCGTCTCATCGTGGTTGGGAGGTATTCCTGGGTGTTGGGCTGGGATGTGCAGCAGGTGGATTCATCCACCTGACAAGGTTTCCCAAGCTGAGGACTCTGGCGTTTTCATCAGGAAACCTAGCTAGGAGTAAACCAATACCAAAGTTCACCATCGTCCTGGTATCAAACTAGTCGTATGGTGCCAAATCTCTGATCCACAGAGGCTGCGGCTGCCTGTGGTTGTGAAGATCTGGGGCAGACTTTGGCCAGGCTAACATCGGGAATCCGGAGAACTACAACGGCGTAACCAGCAAAACTCCGAAAAATGAAGATTGTGCTGGGGCTCGCACAACCAGTGAGGATTGCCTGTCCAAGTATCAAGTATCAAGTAAGTACATCTCCTAAGCAGAGTGAATCCAATAAATACTCGAGGAAACCTAAGACATAACTGTAACATGAGGCTGATCAACAGCACTCTCACATGTTGAGCCACAAATAATGGATTGAAAAATATAACATTACAATGAAGTTCATTGGCTATATTCATTTATTTGCAACGTGATGCATTTTCTTTCCATTCACTCTCATCCTACTTCCAGGTGAAATGAAACTATAAGTAAATACATGCCTGAACGGTCCGCAACTCTTCGAAGGTTTTCGTGATGCAATTACATAACCAACTGGTAAAGTGCAAAGAAACAACATCAGCAGTAAAAGCATGAGATAAAAATTGGAGGATCTGCAACAACATCATTTCTCATTTAGGCAATGATGAAGTACCTTGACAGAAGAGGTAGAAAAATAGGCTTTTGCCAATATTCGTTTGAACATGACAAACTAGGCTTGGAAACGCATTATCTGAAAGACTTCCAACCTGCTAGCTCTGAACATCTGTCTAGCTGGAACATTGCACGTCATAACTGCCCAGGCACGAATATACATCAGTATGATAAGTTTAACGTTGTTGATCATAGGAAGCATAGGTACAAAAAACAGACCTAACCAGATCATACCTGCAACCTCAACATTTTGATTCACTCATAATATAACTGCATTTTTATTTGATATCCTCTTCTTAGCATCATCTTGCATTTCAGCTTTATATTTCGCTGTAACTAATTAACACTCACTGCTGCAGGTCCCCTAATCGCTTACTACCACATCGTGGCCGACAGGTATTCCTGGCTGTCAAACAGTGAAGCACTGATGAATACTTTACGACAGGGTCTCCCAAACTGAGACTTAGACATATTCTTGCGCAAACACCGGCTAAGAGTAAACGAGTGCCATGAATTATTGCCATTCTGCTAACAAATAATCACCAGAGGTGGGTGATCATAATATGAGAAAGGCCTAGAACGTTAGCCGAAACTCCGAAAACATTGCCTAACAAACGGATAAAGAATCGGAATGGAATCATTCTGGAACCCTATGAGTTTTTCGACCAAGAACATAGAAAATATCTAAAGTATGTCCGCTTAATTTCCTCAATCATAAGGGTTGGATCGCAGCTACAGTACCACTAAGGAGGTTTTCAAGAGCAGGAAAAACTGAGGCAATGCACTCAACTTCATTATGGATCATTGGAGGTAAATGAATGTACATCCTTTACAATAGACTTTACAGTTACCGGCAGTGGCCTACCGATGTTTCAAGCCAGTGTTATTATACTTTTAGACAAATCTGTTTTCAATTTGTCCACTCCGGAGGGATGGAGGGCTTGGTGAGCTTGGGCGCGGGGATCGATCCCATGTGTATTGCTGTGTGCTTCCGACCACTGCGCTACACGCGTTCCGATAATAACTCCACATCCGAAATCATAAAGGAAGTTATTTGGAAAAGCAAGTTAATGACCAGAACCCTATGTCCAAGGCATTGTTGGCGAACTGTAACAGGACTATCACCACCCAGTGACGTAGACTACAGTTGATTATGACAAAGTGGGTGGTAGCGTCGGAATGAAAACGAACATTTTAATGTCCATATATCAAAGAGTGGAAATATTTTATGAAAAGACTCTGTCTAAAAAATTTAGATCCTACTCCTAATGTAACAATAGCGAAAAATACAGGACATCTATCCAATCTTTAATATGCCTGTGTGAGCAGGATTAAGACAGGAAGGTAGTATCTCGGCATTGCAATCTAGCCCCTTTTTAGGATGAGAAGGAGATAAGCATTGATGACAAATTCCTACAATCATTTATGTCTTTGACGAAATTGTCATCTTTTTGGAAAGTGTTACTAAAGCAGAGAAGGTTCAAAGACATAACCGAAGAGGATACCGCTGCCAATTAGAAAGGAGGGAAGGTAGTTATTTAAAAAACCACTGATGCAACGATTTTATAATTATGAAGGACACAAATTACGTGCAGAAGAGCGTTCAATAAAGAATGAGCAATTATAACTTAAACAAAAAAAAATTATGTGAAGCACTCAGAGCTTTTACAAAAGCCAAAGGAAATTGCTGGATCCAAATATCTTGTACCCAATTTGTTTTAACTCAACGTCCTTCCAGCACTGCTATGCCTTGAACTGACACCACAACTACGACAAATACTTCACTCATCAACTATAAAACTCTTGAACACTGTTTTCTAAAACACAAGGAAAATACAGTGCACAAAGTCAAGTTAAGGAGTTTAGATTTTCGAAAGTTATCTTAAAAAGTACTTTTTTCCTTATCCACGATGAGTGCACTCTTCTAGTGCAAAAATAGGTGATCAGGATGCTTCACGCGAAAAGTTGGCTACAGGTATAGAAGAGGGATAATTAAGTGCAAAATAAGAGAATGTATACGCCCTTTAAGGTAACTATCTGGAAGATGAAAATATTTGTTTATGGTTCAAGCCAATCGACTGTATTAGCACATGCAAAACATAACTGCAGGTGTAACAGGTGTAATAGAAGACCACTGCAATGAGGTGCTAAAAAACCAATGAATCAGAAAAGGAATTAGGTGTTGATTAAACTTTTTTATGCTCTTTTATTTAATAACCTTCATAAAAAGCTTTTGTACCTTGATTATTTACCAAGTGGAGCACGTTCTCAGCGACCTTGAATTCTCCATACTCCGGCTGTAACAGAGTTACCACTGAATTTTTTTTGTGAAAAGTAAGAAAATGTGAAAACATACGAATGTTTTCTCGAGATTCCAGAACCACCATAAATTACAATAACGACATAGAAGGCCACGGAAAAAATCAATCACTAGAATGGCAGCAATTGTCATGAGCAGATCCATCACCACCAATTTTGTGATTTCCTGGAAATCTCTCTAGAAAGCCGACTGATGGAGATCTTGAGAAAGACGTGCAACAACAAGCAATTTCAGTCTCCTCCAAAAAGAGTACCTGTCCTATTTGCGTTTCCCAGCACATATCCTTGAAGGTTTGAAGACGAAATGGCTGCATTTGTGAGATTCTAAATGGTGACTTAACATGAAAAACACACAACTAAAATAAGTATGAAAAATAAAAGGCTGCAAATTTTCTACGTAAAACTAATAAGAAGAATTGGTCGCTGGTTAGGCAAAAACTGGAAGTAGAAGTATGTTTGCTTACATTGTTCCAGTTTTTACGGAAAGGTGGCGAGTAGAGATTTAGAGAGCGATCGAAAGCGGTAAGACACGCAGGTGTATTCCGGGCATGGATTCGAAGCTTCTGTCTCACTCGTTTAACACCCTTCCACTCATGGGCATTTTCATGGAAGAGGCGTAGGTACATTCGCCAACTTTTTGTGGTTATAAACCTCAAAACATAGTAAAAGAAGTCGTCCTGATCTCTTGACTTCAAGGGGTCCTTTGATTGGTAGCGTTGGATAAGATCAGTAGGAAAAAACCGCTAAAATATTAGGGCTATTTTAGGATGCCCATATTTGCATCGAGGTAGTGGTATTTGTAACAGAATCACAATAGCACTTGAATTGTCTCTTGAAGAATTGATGGTGCAGGCTAGAAAGTTTAATGTTCAACGTTTTATTTACTGCCTTATTCTTTCATGGCAGCGTATTTGCAAAACCTAAGTTCCTTACCAGATTCGAACCTGCAATTAACCTTTCCGAGGACTCATGTGTTACTCACTGCACCGTTAAGGCTCCTACTTTGTGCTTCTCTCAGCCAGTTTTTTCACCCTAACGGTGCCATCAGCAATCACCCGCCAACGGGCATGATCTAGGGAGCACAAATCGAGTAGGGAACCTTAGAATACTGCTTAATTTGTGAATCAATATAGGTCTCTCTGACGAACTAAAAACCCGAATCAGACGTTTAGACTTGTTAAAAAATGGGCCAATACCAGCTTTGACAATCGCATTCATCTACTCCTTAATACCAAGCTACGAGCAAAATGAGGTTAAACGAACTTCTATAAGTTATGCAAAGGAAACCATATCTTTCAAAGGATATGATTTACTACATTAGGCAAAAAAACGTCCTGGCACACATATATACACACTCAGCATAATAAGTATTTCAGAATGCCACAGATACATGAGTTGAAAAAACAACATCACGGAGAGATTATTTCCACAGCTAAGCAACAGCAAGTGAGAGGCATGGAAGAGCTCCAGAGCCTTCAGAAGGTAATGAAGAAAACTATGCACGAACTTCATGATCAGATTTGCGACCCTACGATTTTTTCTGCTTTGTGGTACATGTTGGAAAGCTGAAAGCTGCCAAACAAGGATGACAGAGCAATCAGCTTAAACGCGAATTTTTGAAATCTATGCTACCAGTGTCCCGTATCACGCCAACGAAAGAAGGAAACCAAAGTCTGAACCTGGCCAAGACGCCTAAAATCAGGTGTGCCAGGCTGGTCATGCGTATTAGTGACATCCGGCAGACATGGATCCTTAGCGATGGTGACGTAATAATAATGGTCGATAGTGATATAGTGTAAAACGTGCACCAGGAAGCACTACCCTAATAATCAAAATACTTGACCTAGGTTGTAAAAAAATATCATGCTGTTCGAGATTTTGAGGGAGAAAAACTGAAAATGGGTACTTTTTCTGCGACCAAGACAAATGGAGAACGCGCTCGAGGCGCTTTCTGGTGAGAAAGCCGGTGATTTGGAGAGCTCACAAGAGCTTCGAGAATGTAGTAAGGAGGAAGAATGACATTTGGCTCAAGAATAGCAATATTAGTTATGCTGTAACTACATCCCTTAGTTAGATCGGTAGGTATGAAAAAATAAAATCACAAAGATATTTGGCATTCTAAACAAATTCAAATATAAAGTAAACGCTTAAAAATATTTGTTCTCAGGCTTGTTATGAGGTGAATACATGTTAGTCGACTTTTCGTCCACTAATTGCCGGAAACTTGATTATATGGTTTCTCTGACTCGTTTTTTTACAGTCATTAATTTCTCAAATTTTATGTTAATCCTGCGAGATGATTCGGCGAATTTTCTTGGTATGTGCGCTTGGCTTGACAGATGCACGAGCGCTCGTTAACCAACCCTGAAGATAAAGCAACGCCCCATTTCCTCACCTATATGGGTAAAATGACAGAAAATAGGAGCTTTCTCGAAAAGAATACTATAAAAATTGGCAAAATTGCAAAAGTCAACAAGTCCACCAACAGGAAAAGAGGAAAGTGAGAAACGGCAAACACTGACTATTTGCATAATCTTTTCACGCGAAAATGCACTTGTATCAAATTTTCGCTCTTATCAAGCTAGTAGTAAAATATGCACGTGGGAAGAACAGAAAGTAGTAGTAAGAGTAAAATACTTAGGTGGCCTTTTTTGACGTCTCAACCGTTCGTTTCGTTCTCTCGCAACCGTTGTTCACGGAGATGGTAGTATTCACGTAAGATTTCAGCAGGGTATGGAGACCTGAAAGCTAATTCCAGTTGACAGTCTTCACTCCGTCGTTATTCGTATTCATTTAACGTCCTCCTTATGCGCCGAATATGGTCTCTTTAAACCATGAACCAACTAGGCTAATTTATTCTCTTCTAAGCTTGATGCTCTTCCTGAACGCAATATTCTTCCGGTAGATTGGCAGTCCAATTTTTCAAGGCTTTGTTGAACTCATCAAACATCTTTTTTGCTTTTGCATTAGTGCTCGCAAAAAGGACGACGTGAAAAACCGAAAAATTGAAGTTTCGGAGGAATATACCACCAACACGCGTCATTTTGTCCTTTTTATCTCTTGATTAAATACATTATTGTAAAGCGAAGTTGGACAGATTTAGCGATGCAGTGTCTTCTTGGCATATCTCTTCAAAAATTGAAACAGTGAGTACTTTATGAATAAGCTGTTGTACTGTTGCATGAAGAGCAATCACGGTTGCAGTCATCCCTTGGTGAACTGCGATAAACAGAACGAGGCTGGAATCCACAGCATGAAGCGCTTTATCGTAGTCAAGGAAGCTCAAGAATGGTTATGTGACATTGGGTGCAGAAATGTAGCACTTTCTTGTGACTCTGGATACAGTCTGCTACTAAACACCATGCACAATCCGACCTCTATATTTTGAGCTTTATCCTAGTTTTTCGAAATGAACCTTTACGAAATATCCTTGCAGTGAACTAAATAAACAGACAGGATGGTAGTTATAAAAATTACTTTATTTTTCTTTTTTGCACAGAACGATGGTACCTGAAGTGTTCTACTGGTCGGGAATCCGTCCCACTCACATATACAACGTCATCGGTTTTGTACAAATAGTATGCAGGTGGTAGTCGTAAAGGATCGACAGAAATATATTCTTCTCAAAAAACTGTGGCAGGCTTTTAAATTTCAGCTCGAAGCTCTGGGGAAAATGCTTCTGATGGTATCCTTTTAGTGAGGAAAACAAGATGTTTTTGAGAAGTTGTTATTCGGAAAGGGTTTTTGTAGAATCTCTTTGCTATTAATTTCATAGCACCGCCAGAGATTGCACCCAATCGTTATCACTGAGCTGAATAAAAGGAAAAATACCATACTTGAGAATATTTCGACGACCTGTCTTTCCTTTCCTGCTGATGTTTCTAAAATAGTCGGCTGTCGATATCGATGAAGATTGTCTTGTGCTGCTATTCTGCGAATGACGTCGATAACTGTTCATTAGATGTTTCTTGCAACAAGACCTTGTAGCGATTAGCTTAGTCTTGTCTAGAAGGCTTTTATTTTTCTTGGATAGCGTTCAGAAGGTGTCTTTAGGCCCGCAGAAGCTTGCCCAACAAAGGATCAGAGAAATGTCAACGGCGGCGTGTATTCTTCTTGTGGGTCTTCGCTTCCACTCCAGTTGCAGTTGTAAAGAGCATCGCTTAAGGTGAGCTTCGTGGTTTCTTCATTTCACGCGACAAAGAAATCTACTTTCTGTTGCGTGGTAAGAGCGAATCCTCGCACGAAAAATTTAGTGATGCGATCCCTTGCAAATGCAAGACACGGCCGCGGCATCGGCCTGATACGATACCGTGTTCATAAAGATGTGATCGACCTTCATATAAATTCTATCAAATTCTCACGTTCAGAAACCATAGTTTTTTCTAAGAGGAAAGTTTCCATACAAAAGGCGAAACTGCAGGAAATAGTTTTGCGTAATGATCCCTTCCTTTTCATGTCTTAACGCAAAGTTTTTAATTCTGAATGCCTGATCTTGCGCTACTCATATCTTCACATTAAAATCGCCTGTAGCAAATTTGTAGAAAAGTTATTTGCTACAAATGAATTTTTTGAGATTTTCACAAGTCACATCGAGTTTCACATCATCAGACGTTGATGTTGGTCAGCAGCAGTTCTGATTTCCTGCCGATAAAAGGTGCAGAAATAGCAAGCGGGAGAAGAGCTAGAATTTGATGAGCATCACAAGATTTTGAAACAGTTGTGAAGATGAAAAAACCTCTGAGAGAGCAGGATATAAATGAAAACTTCAAGTAGTATAAAACAACTAAGAACGCTTGTTTTTTTCACACCACCAGTCTTTCACATCTACTGCACGGGATGCCAGCACTTCTTGCACTCGATTTCTTTCCTCATATCCATCATAAACAAAGGTATTCCAACTTTTTACGTGTGGCTTCTGCTTCTGCTTGAGGCTTTTCCTTTCATCATGGATGCCGTTGAATGCTGTTCAAGCAGATTCTTCCTGAAGTCCTGAGAAAGTCGCACTAGGGCGTTCCCACTTCGACTGTAGAGAGTGAAGCCCAGACAGAACTGGTACCAATTTCTCGAACCCGGAGGGATGAGAGACTTGACAAGCTCAGAGCTGAGTGGAACCAGCACCGTGTCGTAATGCTCGGCAACACTACCACTGTGCTACAATGTCCCTAGCAGCTACGATATAGGAGCGTTTAATGGCAGAAATCGACAGAACTAGCTGAAAGACAGATGAAACAAAGGACCCGCATGGTGTGGTGGTGAGCGCGTTACTCCCCGGAAAGAACAATAGCTCGTTCGTTCTCCACCGCAGACACCTGCGGTTCGGAGTTTTGTCCATATCTCAGCATCATTGAAGTTATATTTCGCAATTAAATTACCATTACCATTAGAAAGAGTAGGCAGTAAATAAAGCCGTTAAGATAGAAGCGTTATTTTTCTTTCTGCTTGAGAAAACTAACAAACAAATTAAGGGAGTTAGTTGTGTTTTTCACAGGTAAACGAAAAAGCAGAATAGAATGTCGTTTCTTCATAACAGATTCAAATCGAATTTTCAAAAAAGACCTCCACTGACGCTCGTAAGCTTTGAATTTTGCTACACATGTTGTTCCATTTTTGCCATGGAGATATCCTGCCATATACATTGGAAAAACCAGCAGTGCGGTGTTCCGAATGCTGTTTACTCTTATATTTTTTCTTTATGTATGATGGAAAAAGTGAAAACGGTAACAAAAAACATAAAAACACTAAGGTTTAGCTAAACACTATTCTTATTTCAATTAGCGCTTTGGTACGTAAAGGCACTGATTTTTTGATTAGTGGCTTGATTGCAGAACAGCAATTTCGTTGTGCTACTTGCTGTGAACGAAATCTACAAGTGAAGTCTATCAAGCATTAGTAGACGTTGTTTATCAATGTCTTTCTATTGCCGACAAAATTTTAATAATATTTATCTTAAAATCAGTATTAATAGCAGCTTCTTACGCACGTGTAAACTGTGTAGTTACGAGTGATCTGCTCATAAGGAGTTTGCCAGACATCGCTCGGTCCGATCTGATGCGTAATGACGACGCTGGCATTGTGCATAGAATTGTCCTTGGAAACTAGAGCCTTCGGATTCGACACTCCAATTGGACCGAAATCAGCTAGCACCTTTAAGCAATGCACCGTCTTTACAGAATTTTCAGACAGAAACGAAAAAGAAATAAAAGTAACATTATCGGTAATAGGTGGTTAAGAAGTACCGTGAAGGTGAAGCCAACGATATAATTTCTAGCCTCGAAACAGTAGTTGCTCTTGATAATCAAATGTGTACTGCCTCATAGATTTTAGCTCAAAAAAATCATGTTCAACACTAAATTACGTCTAGCAGAATCAGAAAAACTAATTTCTTAGACGAGGGTGCTGCCATGCGACGCCAGTGTTACATGGTGGGAACGGCTACCTCAAAATACTGCTGAGGTTTGCTCCCAGTAAAGTGAAAAAGTAGCCAAATACGAATGGTACTGGGTTTGTCAAAAAGCAAAGCATTAGGAGTGAATCAATGCTTTAGGAAAGTGACATGCATTTGATTTCATTGAGCACTGTGAAGGTGACTGCATGTCAAATACAGCCACAAGGATGAGATAAATTTTTAGACGAGCTTCCCTAACTGTATACAAAAAAAGAAAATCAAGAAAAAAACATGCTGCGGAGTTCCAGATCAAAATCAAATATATTAAAAGCACCATAACGAAGTATTGTTGATACTACTTATTTTATGAACTTATAAACTGATCCTGCTAACGGTTTGCCGCTTCATCGTGGCTGGGAGGTGTTCCTGGGTGTCGGACTGCGATGTACGGGGGAGAGATTCGTCCCGCTGGCAGGGTCTCCCAAATTGAAAAGGAGATCGGCGATTCCACCAGGAAGCCTAGCTAAGAGTAAACTAATATCAGGATCCACCAACCACCGTCCTGGTATCAAAGTTGCTTAGTGGTAAATCTCCCTCTGATCCACAACGGCTACGACTGCCTGTGGTGGTGACGACCTGGAGCAGTCTTTGGCCAGGCAGACCTCGGAATTCCAGGAAACCACAGTGGCTTAACCAGCAAGTCTCCGAGGAATGATGGTTGTGCAATGGCACGCGCAACCAATGAGGATGGGCCGTTCAAGTATCAAGTATCGAGTAAATATAAACTGATCTTTTTTTGACCTAATGAGAGGTTGGTACAGGTTTTCGTTGTCGCTGTCCATTGAGGGCAGTCCCACTCGTTATAGCAAGGCTCTGAAGAAGGCGAATTCGCCGAAACGTCTGCCATCGACCAACAAGAGCATTAACAACAACAACGACAACGACAACGAAAACTTATACAAACCTCGTTTCAGCTCAAAAAATACCAGTTTATAAGATTGTATAAATAAACATATTAACTATTTATGTCTAGGTTTGTAGAAAGTCGGTTCTTTGAAATACTGATACTTATTATATCAACAGTTTCAACTTCTAATACCATAAAATAAAGACGTTTATGAGCGGGAACTTCACTTCATGCGGCAGTGGATATGTTAACAGTTATTTATATTTTGCGTAAAAGCCGCCTGGAATAAACGCTTTTCTGCCTTCTTCCACTGCTCCAAAGTTATAGGCAAACAACTAAAGAAGGACTGTTTAAATGATAACGCCTACCTATTGCCTGCACTAACTTTTTTCAGCCTACCAATCCTTAAGATTCACATCGACATTTCCTTACCGTAGTCCACGGCTCTAGAGGGGCTGGTGTAGTGTGTGGAGAAATATGATCGGAAAACGATGATGTAACCAAATCACGTACTGTCCTAAATAGAGCGTAGAAGAACATTTCAGTGAAAAACGCTCAAAGATATAATAATTGATGACCGACCGATTTTGATTGACTGTTCGTAACCCATTAATCGAGTTTATTGCAACCATTTGGGATTCCTGAAAGGAAAGAATTAGACACTAATTCGGCATTGACACCATGTTTTAGAAGCGAGGGATCATTGAGGATTTTGTTGAAAAAAATTAATAATTCGACTTTTACATTAAAATAATCTAAACACGAAGAACCCTTTCTTCACTTCCTGTCATTATACGAGCTCATCGTGGTCGAAGTCTTTCTGTATGTCAAACTTAGACGTGAAGCTGATGGCTCATTCTCCTAAGAAGGCAACCAAGGTGAGAAGTTCGACATTAAATTCAGGTAGTTCAGCTTGGAATAGACCAGTTAGGAGACCTAGCTAAAATTAAACCAAAGCCACGTCAGACTGCACAGAGCTATGGCCAGCCACGTTTTCCCCAGAAACAGTACAAGATGCTTATGCTATTGAAGCACCAAGAACAACTGGAATTAATTGGACAGCCATACTGCATAGCAGAAACGATGACAACATGATGACAAAAGATGACACATGTAAAGCATAAAAATGTTAGACAAACGTCAAGAAATTAGCGTGTATCAACCTTTCGATACCCACATCTCTTGTTGTTATATTCAAGCACGAAGGAAAGAAAGCTCTCACAAAATCTAAGACACCGGAAATAAAGTCACTTCGTACCTCTAGAACTTTCCGTTCATTTTCAATATCTCTCAGTTTCATCATCAGCGAGACGATGAGCGTGTAGTAATTAACAATGTACAAACACAGAACCCTGAAGCATACCATTTGCGAAAGAAAAGAAAAATAAAAACCGAAGGTAGTAAGGTTGTAAACGTCTCTAATTTACAATGTTGTTACTGGAAAACAAAAAAAAGAACGAGTGTAATTAGTGAATTCGATACTGTTTCGTATACTTATAGGACGTCATAATGTTACGTTATTGCTAACAGTTATTGACCAAAAATCGTTTTGTCGACTAAACGCAAGAATCCAGGAAAAATTCTGGTAGCAAAGCAGTAGACCTCCTCGGTATGCAGAAGAACCGGCAAGGACTTATGTTGAGGAACTGAGGGCGCAAACAGCGCTGGTATCTCAATATTAGACGGAAAATAAATCTGGACTAGCCCTCTGCACGTTAAAGGAGGAAAACGTCGACAAAATCATAAGTTGTAGCCGAACCCAAGTACAACCTTGACTGTCTCATTGAATGATGGATGCAGAGAAATGAAGCGAATCAAAGAGGTGTCGACTTCTGCACAACATGTGGAATAGATAATCAAGGTAAGATAGTAAGACCTCAAATAATTTAATACCATAAGTAAAAAAGAGTGTTCCAAAAGTCGTATTAATATTTGACATAGTTACAGATATTATATTAAACGCACAGCAGTTCTTCGGAGTCAAAGAACAGCATGAGCCGATATTCGAAGGTGTTGAAATTGGAGGAAGATTTGTCGCGGACTTGAAACCTTCGGCACTCGAGAGAAAAAGAAAATCGGTTAGTGGAAGACCTCATTTGTACTCGACGTGCGCAATCGATTTCTAGTTAATTGTTTTCAATTGTTAATAAGCTGTAGAAAGAAAGCACAAAATGGTATTGTAGTACAGGATTGTTCAAACTCAAATCAGCTTTTTCTTTCTCATACAAGCAACCAGCTGAAGAGGTCAGCTCTCTTGGCAAAATTTCTAGCACACAAATGTTTAAAAATTTCACAAGAACTGAAAGACCTTGCAGTTAGGTGGAATCAATCACGTCTGACCTGGCACCCATTCTTCACCCGGAAGTTAAATAATGGTGCGCACTCTAACGAATAGATGGTGGACAGGTAATACTCGCCACTCTTTAATTACTATTGGTGTTATTTAAACAGAACTGTCTCGTTGAGGTAGCCGAGCACATGCCGGTTCTCATCGAGCGTTGTGGCCAACAACAAACCTGCGAATATTCGCAGTAATTTCTCTCGGTTACGTTTTCAGCGGGGCAGCTCTGCTCTCTGCGAATTTCTGCGAGTTTCGGCAATTGTATGAACAGAAGTGAAGGGCAATAACCATCTAGCAGAGCAGACATGCACGGTGCCTTCTCCTGCACAGCAACGTACGTGCTTTGCCAAGCAGGTACTCCTGACGCGATGTTTGCACATTCTTTTTTTTCTTCTTTACTCGCCTTTAAACATCTTTGTAATTTTATTCACTGATAGAAACTATTTGGAGTATTTCACGATATTCTTGAATTTATAAATTCCATTTTTCGAAAACACTACAAGGTGTATTGCATTTTAGCCAATCGATAGTAGTGCAGATATTTTGAAAATATTTATCCATGCACCTTGCCAACTGAATTCGTAGAGCCGTTCGTGGATGATATCGCTCCAGTTTTCCGATCAGCTCAAATAGATTTGGGAAAATCAGCGTAATGAAGGAGACTGTTATGGACACCGCATTCTATAAAAGAAATGCTAAAGTGTAGTAGACTCAGTGGAAAAACCATAACAAAAACCAGGTGAAAAAACCTATTTTTCCAGAAAGCTTGTTAAAGAAGCAAAGCAGTTTAACTGAATAGCAAATGTTTACTTTTTACTTTGTGCCTGCTAAAAACAATTTTTATGATAGGGTATTAAGCGAAACACAACCACAAAAATTGTAATAGGCAGAAAATATAAAGTACAAATTGTGATTTAAACTACAGCTTCAGCTTAACGGGTTTTAATGCCGATTTGGACTCCCCAGATCAATTTCGCCGACGCGTGATCGTTTATGGCAGTGATCGATAGAACTGGTTGAGAGACAGGCGAAACGATGGAGCCACATGGTTTCGTGGTGAACGCGTCAGCCCTCAGAAGGGGTAATAGCACGTTCGTTCCCCACCGCAGAAACCTCCGGTCCGGAGTTTTGCAAATATCTCAGCAACGTTGTGGTTATATACCATGTGTTTTGCAATTTTCAATGCAAATGATTATGAATTAAAAAGTGGAAGACTTTCAATATCGACTTGGGTAAAGGATGAAAAAGAAAGATAAAGCTTCCGCGGTTGACTAATCCCTGAGAGATGCGCCATGAATTCGAATTCAATGAGCATTGTTAGAGGTGATTGAATGCATCTGCCTTATAGAATGACCTGTCGTGCTCTACAGATGCATCAACTCAGTGATGCCATTTCCCCAGACACCAATTTGCCGAACTCGGAGGGATGGATGGCTTGGTGAGCCTGCGACGCGAATTGGCCTCATGGGTGCTGCAGGGAGCGTCTAATCACCGTGCTGCATGCCCTCCTAAATACTTGGATAGTTGGATAAATAAGGAGTGGCTCGTCTTCATTAGTTGTGCCAGCACCAGCATATTTTTAAACAGTTCTTCTCCCTTGGAATCGCTCTCCATTGTACTGTCTTATCTGAACTTTGATGATGGCGGTCACCATTCTGTGAGCTTGTTTTCAGCTTATTTCTGACTCTTTTAGATTGTTGAGATGACCAGCAAACACATCCGCCAATATGTATTCTTTCTTTGACGAGCTTACACGAGGTTGATTATGATATTTATTTTCCGCTAACGTTTCGACGTCTTCGTCTTCCTCAGAGCCGGTGATCCGAGTCGTTGCTCCACGCTTGGTCATCCGTGTTGTTCGTGGTCATTCAGCAGCACGCTTGAATCGTGCTGGCTTAATGAAGTCGAGTGCATTAGTAATCCCACAGGAATTGATAAACACTGGACTCTTAATTTTTAACTCCATCTCCTCCAAAAAGGGATTGAACAGATCTTCTCACCACCAGTGGTAAAAGGTCCGTGATTCAACTGACGTATACAACCTACTTCCTGTTTCGTGTCAAACGATCACATAGCATATAATCAGGTTTCTGGCGTCAACATGAATCGCGTTTGAAAGAGCTGCTCTAGTGCTGCAGGTACAGAGCAGGAAACTGTCCTCATTCCATTAATGGACGCTCATTCTGATTTACCGGTGGCTAAATTGTTTGTTTCTTCTCTTTGAGATCTGTGGTTGTTTTGCTAAGACGTTTCCGGTTTATCAACACAGGCTGTCACTAGCTCCTGCAGTTCAAATCTTGTACATAATCAATCTCGCTAGCAAGTGAGTGCTGAAAAGGTACAACTGATCTTTTTGGTTTAACACCTGCTGGGTTTCCGGTTAGAATTATCAAACCTGTTCTTAAATTCAGTAATCCTATTGAAGGGATGAGACACGGTGCAGTTCAATATCCAAAAACACAAAGCTGCGATGACGCAGCAAATCACGTGAGAAACGCTACAGACAGGTAGCAAAGCGTCATGAATATACAAAAAAATGACTCGCTCAAAAAAGCACCTGTTTTACAAACGTATCCGTTTCTCTGATCTGGCTCACCGCTAGAATTGCCCACACGGAAAATGCTAGCATAGTGAACACAAGCAAATTAGCGAATAATCGTAACAAAATTTGTAAACAACAATATTTTTTCTTCATGTTCACCGTAAACTCAGCAATAGCCTCCTAAAATGGAAAAGCTTAAAACGTATTTGCATCTACGAAAAGGCAAAGCGGTAGAATAAGTGCCAAAAACGACCATGGTCAACAGAAACCCACACGGAACTTAATGACGTTCGCCATGTGCACGTTTCCGGCAGTTTCAGCGTTGCCTATAGTGAAATCCCAGCCTGTGAACGCTTTCCAGTTGAAAACATACTGTTCTGTTTTACCTGATGATAATTTACTCGTTCGTGCATTAGCAGCCATCCTTAAAATATTGAACTCAAAATGTTTTGCTGACGTTTCAGTATGCCGTTTATGCATTTGTTTTGCCCGAACAAACTTTTTAAGGACATAATGGTCTAAACAGAAACGGAAAAGTTATTGCAACCGTAATGAACTAAAGACTGAAACGAACACAAATGCAAAGTTTCCTTACTTACTTCCTTAAAATTGTGAAGAAACTATATCCAAGTACAAATATATTAGAAAGAAAATACGCTACTGGTACTCTATATCGAATTGTTTCACCAAAAAATGTTTCCCTTGAGTAGTAACCATAAAATATCAAGGAATATTCCATATAACCCTAAAAAATAGCTGCTGAAAAAATAGAAAAATATCACAACGTCGTTAAATATTACACTTACTCCCAAATCCCACACGGTGCTCATTTCATCGGCACGTAGACGAACATCATCGGGCATGATTTTAATGGATTTCGTACGATTGTAGCGCTCCGACGCAAACGTCATCCGTGAATCCGCCAACCACTAAAATCTGTCTTTTCTACGATGACATAAGGCAGAAACGATTTGTTCAACTGCTAAATGTGCATTTATAATAACGTAGAAACTAATAGAAAGTCGTAAGTTACATAGAAACAGTGATTGTACGCGGCCACAATTATTTAAACAATTAAATAAGCTTAATTCAGTACAGATGATGATGTATGAGGTCACAATCAATGTCAGTCATATGTTCGAAAGGACGCAGTGGTCGGAGACGCCTTGCAACACACACGTGGAATTGCGCTCATGGCCCACCAAGCCTTCCATCCCTCCGGAGTGGGCAAATTGTTACCAGACTTGTCTGGGAGGATAGCAATACTGGCTCGATGCACTGATAGGCCACCGCAAATCATTGTAAGGGCCAGATGTGCATTCAATCACCTCCAAACTATACTTAATGTAGTCGAATGCATGGCCCATCCCTCAGGGATTGATCAACACCGGGAGCTTTATTCTTTTTATCCTTTATCATATGTTCGAAAGCATACTTATTACAATAGAGTTCCTAAGAGAAAAAAGTTGTTATAAACAAGACACAATTACTTGGAACATGGCGAATAACAATGGCGCAAAGCCTATGTGATGAAAAGATTCGAAGGGAAACAATTTATATTCTTTTTGCACAGAAATTCGGAAAAATTTCATGGAAGGTATTGACCTCGTTCTCCCAGCTTCTAAGGCGAATTTGCAGAGAGGTACATGTTCATTAAAATGGAGTGAATCAAACATTTCGCGAAGAAGAAACTTTATACAAGCCACTTTTGCACTACTTAAAGATACCTCGAGCTACCCTATACTTTCAGAAATGTTTCAGAGTGAGGATACACTGCTAGAAGGGATAAAGGAGAATAAGAGCTCATCGTTGTTCTCGAGAGATCATATTTTGGACGGAGGCTCTTATTTCGAAGCTGATGAACATCGTATAGGTGAATGAATGCATATTTCAACAAGGCAATGAATTACGAAGGCCGATTTATGAAGTCAGTGGTTATTTTGGGTTTGGAGGAAATGCACGAGAGAGAGTGTTTTGGAAGAGGATTTGAACCACGGAATACATGAGCTGCAGAGCCCTTCTAATCACTGCGCTACACTCACGCATATTATATATATATATATATACATATATATATATAATGTAATGCAACCTTGAAAATGTGTTCAACTCACTTCTGGAATGATGACAAACATTAACATAATAACAGTCATAGTAACATTGACTCCAAGAGTCCATCGCAGAAAAGTGAAGTAAGAACTAACAACGGATCCAAAGTGACCTGAAAAAGATCATTTGTAAAATTATTTGTTTTGTTGCTGCGTTTTCAGTAGCATTCGATGAACCTCAATTCTACTCTTTGTTAATTTTATTTCTTATATCCCTCAAATATCATCTGCAGCTCGATATGACAAGTTTCAGTTAAAAAACATTTTTCTGAACATATGCTTTGCGCCGACTTTATTCGGACAAGTTCTGGAACGTTCTTTACTAAAGTTCTAGTCGACACAACCATCGCAATATATGAAACTTTTCTACATCTCACATCGTCTTCATAGCCCTATCACATCGGCATCTGATGAGAAAAAAAGATTTGACGATAATGGATGACTCTCTGATCACAGAGTAAATATCTTCCATATATCTAGAATATACCGCGGACTGACTAGAGAATAATTGCGCTGAAAATTATTGAAAGACGGATTTCTTTCCTTGGGAGGCTGGCGGAGTCCTCGATCGGAAAGTTCGGGGTCGGGCAACGTCGACATAGATAACGATTCCCTTCAAGGATGAACGGCTGGTTATTCGGCATCCGGAAACACCGCTTCACCTCAATCTCCAAATGAACCCGTTATGATTTCTTCGAAATATCACGTTGTGCTTTTAGATTATCACATCTGTTGAACGTTCTCATAAAAACAAAGAACATTCTTCTAACTGTTCACTTATTAACCAGTTTTTCTATGAACTATGGTAACTTTTAGACTAGCGGAAAAAGCAAACTTTAAATCCTCAGTGGAAGGGACGAACAAAGATAAAACAACGATCCTAGTGCCGTCACGAATATTGTAAATGTAGCAAACAAGTGCAGATATAGTCAACGATCCAATATACTCTAGTGATGTAGTTTTTGTTAATTATAGTTCATAAAACATAAGAGTACATCTCATCGATTTCTGAATGGCTCTACACACGCTATAAGATTCATGAACGAAGCAATGGACACCTTTCGTAACGCCTCTAGAAATAGCGCCAAGTTCATGACACTGCTCAATTTATACATATTATTCTGATGGAGGGGATCAGAGATCATTCAAGAATAGACCTTTACACCCGCTGAAGAAGATTAAGCATTAGAAAAGCACAACAGGGCGAAAAAGCTATAACAGTCAACTCACTTTCAATTCGCTTAATCTTCGCTTCCCATAATATGAGATAAATTTTGAAATTGTCAAACCATCGACTCATTAATGTGATTCGTCTACCGGCTTCTGCTTTAAGTAACCGTGCCTTTGAAACTTTTGCCTCTTGACGTTGAAGGTGCCGTTGAGCTACTCTGCAATTGAGGCTTTTAATATAATGTCTTATTTCCACTGGTTCGAAACAAGGAAATGTAATTCGAACGAAAAAAGAGCCAAAAAGAATATTACTGAGTAAAACTTTCGAAGGAAGAAAGTTAAGAAAAGCATAGAGGGATTCACTTTAGAATATATTCGCTCACTTCAACGTCCTACGTTTTCGCTTCATATTCCACGGTTGGCAACGAAGTTTTCCAATGATTTCCCGCTTATGTCGAATTGCTTCCAGTATTCGATCCTTAGACATATTTCGTGTGTCTTCCTCATCTTCATCCTCATCACTAAATGAACATGTTAAGCTAACATCGGAGATTTGGGTTTTGCCTACAGACGCTACTTTTTTTGCAATTTGTAAGCACTTAATATCAGTAAAATCTTTGGAATCACCCACTCTTCGAGCCCGCCAATGGTTCGCGTACTTGTGTGCGGTCGCATGAGAACGCTAGAAGACCGACGAAACAAAGTGATCAAGTCAACCTGTGAAAAAAGACTCTTTGCGGTGGAAAAAGTAAGATAGAAAGGATCCGTTGACACTGACAGCTACAGCCTAATTTTCCTGTTCTCTGTCTCCTAGAGGCGTTTTACTCGAGTTATCCTTTAAACTATCGCCGAAACATTGAAAGAAGATTAGTCATAGCAGCAAATAGGATTTGAAAGAGGTCTTAGTGCGATGGACCGTATTCATTTACAGACCAAATGTTATGAAATATAGCAGAAATATAAAATAATGTTATTATATCACACCTTTATCACATTGAGGAAGATCACCGATACAGCTGAGACACGAAAGCGGTTATGATAGTTTTAAGAAGCTCATACCGTTTCTCCAAAATATATGGGTTTGCCTTTAAGAATTTTGGGTGACAATGGAGATCAGATAACATACGAGTGAAAGCTAGTGGTCAGTGGCTCAGTCATCTTGGCTTCGCTAATGACATTTTTTTCTGAAGAAATACTAGGCTTGTGTACGGCGTTAATTGAAAAAAATGGTGCATTTTAAGTGAAGAATTTGAGACGATATAGCTCGAGTCAATACGACTTCATTAATTGAGAGAAAAATTATCAGAGAATGCATAAGCTCAAGATGCGATGAATTCCTCGAAGCTATTTTCAGATCAGAATCCAGTGGAATACTATCCCTTAGAAATCTTCATAGAGCTGCTATCGAGGGCATTGTGGAGCTTGAAGAAATGGAAGGCAAGACTGCTTGCTGTGTAGTTGTGTTGTGTTGTGTAGCAAGTGGTCGATCGTTGTCGTGCCAAAGGGATTGGACCTTTTCTGGTGCCCTATTTTGTGAGCGTAAGCCTCACTTTTTTGCGCATTTTGTCGATTTTTCTGACCATGTTTTCCTGATATAAACGTCTTGTCAATACTCAAAAAAGCTTCCGCGAGATAAAGCCGTTGAAAGCACAGAGCAGCCGCCATAACCTTCTTTTGTCCCAAATTCGATTCCATTAAGTGCTTCGGGGAATCATCTCGGTTAAATAACTAATGCGGAACGTCGTCAGTTGTTATATGAGAACCGTTTTTTGTTAAAACTCTCAATGCAGTTGAGAGATAGATCTTTTCTTCATTGCGAAAAAGCACAAGGCAGAATTAGTGGCGGCGATCTCTTTGGTAATCACTTAAATCGCATCGCAACCATTTAACGAGCTTTTCAACTCTTTGATGTCTTCAAACGACAAATAACTATTGACTGGTCGACGACGAGCGCGCCTGCGAAAGTTATTTGGAGGGTCAAGTCTGGTTTTCTTTCTTGGATAACTGCCATTAACTGCTGAAGCGAACGAACTTCTTCGTCATCTAGATTCATACACCCGTTAAGGAACTTTTCAAACAATCTGCGTACTTCGCTCTACTCCGCCACTTTCGTAACCCTTTCGGAACGTGTAATGATAACATTTTAAGTTCTTTCTGTTGAATATGTCAGAGCTTGGACTGATGAGTTTAAGCCACATAATTTTTTGCCATCAGAGCATAACTTCGGCATGGTCGAAAGATTGTAAATTAGGAAAAGTATAGATAAAAGCTACAGAATAAGTAGTTGCATAGAAAATTAACTCTAAACGGGTTTACGGAGCACATGTGTGAAATCAATATTTGGTGCAAGGTGTACTTGTAAAATTCATGAAAACAACAGCCGCCACTGTTTCTTGATAAGCATGATAAATCGAGTGCTGGTCGGTTCTGATCGTGCATATAGAAAGATCGACCCAATCTTCAGGAAAAGCAAAGCAATACTAATTGGGGATGTGCCTGTGTTGGTGTCGCCTCCATGTTCAATACAACGAACAGTTATTTTGGAGCACTTTCTCTATATATATCTTTACAGCCTATTCAGCATGATAAACGACTCAGAACTAGATCTGAGTAAGAGAAGCCAGTGGTTTGAAGACTTTGGCAAAGCAATGGTGATGCGGTGATGTACTGGGAAGTAGATAATACTCTGCTTTGTGTCCAATTCTTTTGATTGCATGGTTTTCCATGCGTTAACATATGCCGCTTAACGGAAGTTACTTCAGCATAATGATGAAACGGTCATCATCATCGAACGCGCTGCCAACGTGATGCTAAAAGTAATCTATTTCATTAGAAGTGAGAAAGTGAATCCAACGTTGTGACATAAATCGGTAGAAGGTAAGGAAACTGGCCCACACAGAAAACGTCGGAACTCTACTTGACTGAAAATGGAGCGCCCGTCAGCACTAAGACGACAATGGCGATTAGTACGCTTTTCGTAGGATTTCATGCAATGATAATAAAGCTGCTAAGCGGATAGTTAAACCTCCTGAAAATCATGATCATTCTCGTGGCCGTCAAACTAGTAGCACTCATTGCGTGACTCTGGAATACGTCGGATATGAATAGTTTTTATTGTTAGTCTCTCAAACCGCACGACAATAAGTAGGCCGGCATACAATACAGATGGCGGCGTACAAGCCATTCCGATTATCAAAATTTTGAAGAAATTTTGAGAAATTTAAGAGAGACTACTTGTATTTTCCACGGTTCTTTTTTCGATATGCCTATTTAGTGATATGGCATAACTTGTTTTCATTATTGACGTCATATGGATGAAAAAATATGCTACTGCACTGTTGACGATTTCGCTCTCACGTCCCCATCTATGCAGAGATTTTTACTACCTCGAAAAAAATTTTAGTCTTTAAAACATTTGATTTATTGAGTAACCGCCCTATGCAAATAGTCGGGCTTTCAACAAATTACTAGTTTTGTGTTCTCTCGCTTAAGTTATGTGAAAAAGAATCTTCGGCGAAAAGTTCCGAATCAATCGAAGCGCTGCATAAGTAAGCCATTGTAGACACTTCATGAGGATGTAAACCATACCACATTCAATTATATATGGGTCCATCACCTCATATCTTAAAAAATTACCAAACGAATTCGCATTTACAGAAAAAAACCTGCATATGCTGCAGTCTCAGAAGTGATAATCTGGACAACAGCTTCCTGAATCTCGAAGAAACCAAAAGCTTTGGTCAGAAGTTAAACATTCTAACAAATTTGAAAACTCGGAGGTGAAAAAAACGAATGGAACGCACCAAAACAGACGATCGACGGCTCATTCGACTCTCTATATCTTCGTCTGTCGTCACTTGGATCTCAGTGAATGATTTGCTGGTTTGTGAGTGATCAGCTGATAACGACGTACAAATCAGACATTGTAAAAAAACTGAGTAGTAGTATCAAATGCTAAAATTTACATCATATTTGCTGGATTAGGGCAAACGGTATCCAAACCCAACCTGTACCTCCTCCTCCACTTCAACCCTTGAAGATCTTTTCAAAATGCGGCTTGAGATTAACCACGGCGGGTAGGAACACTAGCGGTACACCAGCCGTCCTTTGAGACCTTTCCAATTTAAACATGAAGAGAGTTTCAACAGAGAGGGACGTGAAATCTCAGGTAGGCTTCGGACTTTTGATTACCCTTTCCAGTGGCCCACGTGTTATCGACCACACCAACCAAGGTCCTCGCTGTATTTTCGTCTCAACCAGGTTTTCACTCTAGCAGCACTTTCAGCAATCACCAATCAAAAAAAATGATCTGGGAAGCACAAGTTAGAACTGAGACTAGCACTGTACAAACGAAGCAGAAAAAGAGCAAAATTGTTAATGTAGTACTAGTAATTTTTTTCTCACCACCATCTTCCTCCAGTGAGTGATTTTCAACGCGATTGGAGCTGAAGCACAGCGGCATTCTTCAACCACGACTCCACGACGCACCTTTGCAGACACACATTATAAGATGCCATTACGGAACGAAACAAAATAAAAAACAATTCAGGTTCCTAATCCAATAAAATTATTTAAGTCAGCTTCGAAATTCAATCAACAAAACATTCGGCCACGTCTCCTCGCTATATTGAAAGGCGATCAAAGAAATACTACTCGAAGAAAGCACCTTTCAAAAAAAAGTTTTATGAATTATATGCTTAAGATATTTAGTGGAAAAAGGTGATAGGGCAATTAGAGAAAGAAGCGCTGAGAAAATTCAATATCGACAGATTTGCGATTATCAGGCCGAGCTTGGGAGCCACTACATTCACAGCATACTGGTTAAATCAGACAATATAATTAACACGCTTCACCTTATTCAATGCATAAATAGAAATGTTCAAACAATCAGGATATTATGGAACATTCCTCTGAATATGAAATGATAACAGAGTAGGAAAAGGAAATGTGACGTGCATTCATGAACGACTTAGGATGTGTTGGTCTTTTTTTAGAACTATACTCTGAGAAATAAGCAACATTGCGTTATTTCATTTTTTTTTGTTTCTCATAAAATTAAAGGTAGGGAACTATCAATGACAGCACAAAAAGCTCTCCATCGCACCAAAATGGCGAGTCATTTAAGCGACAAGAACCTACGGTTTAAAGCTCACACAGGGTGCTATAAATTCCTCAGCTCTTTTGAAGTTAACAAATTGAAAACGGGTATAAGATATGGTTGAAAATAAAGCGTCTGGTGCTGATCAGTTTCTTGAAAAACTGCCATAAATCAGACTCTATCTGCAGCATCGTAAAGGCGATTGAATGCATATTTGGCCTGTACAACAAATCGAGACAGCTACACACGCATGTATCGAGACAATGCTCTCTTTCCCAGAGAAATTCTGCACCAATCTACAACCATCATGGAGGAATGGATGGTTTGGTCAGCTCGGGGCTGAAGATTGAACTGATCACTATGTGTGTACTGCAATGCACCTCAAACCACGTCACATGTAAGATATAAATTACTATTCCTAAGTAGGAATTTTCTATTAGTGCTGCGGAGATGTCAAGTTGTAGTAATTGCTTCAGAGAAATAAACTTCTTTATCACAGCTTTGTTGTATAATTCCAATTGGATTTGCGCTGTGAAATGACATGATATTTGAGGATACAAAATTCTTAGTTGATTGG